TGGATGTATGAATGGATGGATAGATGAATGAATGGGCAGATGAATGGATGTGCGGATGAATGAATCAATGGATGGGTGGGTGTGTGGGTGGACAAAAGGGTGTATAGATGGGTGGGTGCATGGGATGTTGGGTTGAACGTACAGGTAATCGAAAATGGGTGTGATAGATTGAAGAATAAGTGGATGGATGGAATAGGATGGGTGTCAATAGGATGAGATGGGTGGGATAGATAGATGAATAGTTCTTTTCATGAAATACTCACGACAAAGTCAACCATTCCTGACCCAGCACTCATCAAAGGGTTACCATCACTACAAAAAACACAGACAAGAATGTTCAAGCTGCTGCATGCATATTGAAACAGTTAACAGGCGAAGTGTGAATAATTTCTCTTATGTATTCTGTTCATTGGAGATTTCATTCCAAACATTGTCAGTAAAGGTCAACTTATCCACAGGGAATACAGACTTTGAAGGCGCGAAACCCCAAAGTTACATTTCCCTTTGACGTTGACATAATTGTAGATTTTGAAAATCTTTAAGTCCCTTTTAATTATCCATCTACTACTAGCTTTTAATAGCATTCATTACTATTGAACATTCACTAATATGTTTGAGTTGCACTACACAAATTCATCTGCAAATACATGCAGTGGAAAATTTTCTGTCATGTTGAGTGTTAATAAGGAAATTGTAACCAGTCCTATTTTTATCATAAAGAAACCATTGATTGATTGATTGATTGATTGTTATGCGATACTTAATATATACAGTATTAGTGGCGTAGCCGAGTGATTGTATATCTGCCATTCATACTGTAGATTACTTATCAAACGACTAGGTTAGTTCCTTTGTGTTTCACTAAAATTTTCAAGATAAAAGTGAATCTGCCCAAGAAAATCCAACTTAAAGTTTATGCAAATGAACACGATTTTGTATCTGATTTACAACACTCTTCACGGTCGTGATTTCTGTTGTGTTTTCCTCATGCATTATTAATGAGTTTGATAACATCCCTTAGCATCTTAGCTAAGTTTGTAGTTCATTCAAGACTTTCATTAGGAGACACTGTTAATAAGTATTACAAGTCAAGTCTAAGTTTACTGAGTCCATTTTAAGAGAATACAAGCCTATAAGGAAGATCAAATTTTTTACCGAATTGTACGAGAGAAGGAGTGGAGTGTTCAACCTTGATTAAGCATCAATTAATGAACGACTGGCCTCTCGCTCGATCTGGTTGACTCTTAGGGTCCCCTAAGTCTCTGGGCGACATGGCATGTTCAATTCTGTATAGTTGTTCAATATGCTAGTGCAAACTCCACTCACATGTGACTAAGGCTAAGGCTCGTAATTTACCTATTACGCATGTTTTTATTTGATATTGGAGCCCATCCCACACGGCTTACTGCCTCATCTATCACATGTGGTATGTTCAAAGGAATCATACACGTTGGTTATCAGACCCTTACATGTGCCACCCCTGCCAATGATCCACAAATGGATGACAAGTTTACCCATTTGATTTCTGAATTAATAATAATCTTTTTTTTTTCTTATGCACAGCTTCAGTGTAAATAAGTGGGTAGGTTTCTGAATTCTGTGTGAAATAAAGTCATTATTATTATTATTACCTATCAACGACCAGAACTTTAATGTATTAATAGTATTCATTGAGCACATAATGTGCAAACTTTTGGACAAGAGGAGAACATAGCTATGATGAATAAAGATTAAATTAATTGACAGAGCACCTTCACTTAAAAAATTCCCTGCCAAACTTTTACATAACCATTTTCTGTGTTGATGGCAGGAGAAACCCTTAAGACAACAAATATATTAATATTAAAATAATAACGTTTGGTGATAAAATAATAATTTTAAATTAACATATTAAATTTTAAAAACTAAGAAAAATACTAATAAATGAAGAAAAAAGGATCGAGCTGATGAATTGATCAGCTACGAATAAAATATCCATTAGGTAAATGTCTTAAACATATTAACCTTAAAAACTAAGAAAAATACTAATAATTACTGAAGAAAAAAGAAGCTGATGAATAGAATATCTATTAGGTAAATCAGCATATAGATCCGGTAACCCATTTAAGATATTATATATTATTTTAACATCATAAAAAATCAATCAAAACGCTTGAAACCTGTCTTACACATCACCAGACCTGTAATTGATCACCAATATCAGAATTTTTAAAATCTTAAATGTCTCAAATGTCCAGACGTTGTAATGAAATGTTAAAGCTATATCAAAATAAATATTCTTGAAGTGTCTACTTGTTGGAGCAAAAATGTTTACTTAAGATGCGAATATGCTGGTATATATACACACATATATTGGAGCAACACTTTCAATTTTATGCTCCTTAATGGTAAAATAGTAATATTCGGGCTCAATACCTTTTGTTTGTACTCATTTTATAACCTAAGGCAGGTGTAATTATCGAGAGTAGGAGCGCTAGCATAGGTAACCACTTCAACTGACATAATTCTATTGAACCACAATCCTTTTAATATCTACATTGTATTGAACAGCAGGGCCTTTCAATATAATATACATTATGAGAGATTGTCTTATAATGATTTTTGTTTTTTAGTACATTGCCTAAAGAAGATAGAAAGCCTTGACAGTCAACTTTTTAATCAAAAATGCAAAATAATAGGCAAAAGGAGAGAGAGTTGCACTCCTTGATCGATAAAAAAGATAAAAAATGGAGAGGAGAAAAGTGCTTATAGATAGACTTGAATCCCTTGACTGAAGGTGAAAAAAGGAAAAATCTAGAAGAGGAAAAGAGAATGCTACTAAATATGTAAATGACTGTATAGACTATGATAAAAAAACTGGAAAGTGAGAAAAAAGGCAAATGAAAAAATTTACAAACACTTAATGGCATCATATACAGGGCTGTATCCAGACCTAAATATTTATCCAGGCAAACTAGAGCGGAAAAGGAAGGAGCAGATGGTGGGGTTGGGGAGCATGCACCCCCCCACCCCCCCAGGAAGTTTCAAAATCAAAACCATAGGAAATGCGATTTCCAGAGTTTTGAGGGGCATTTGTTACTTTTTCATGAGGCTTGCCTTAGAGGCCATTTACATGGAGAAATCTTGTCCCTAGTAAAAGGGATACCCTCTTCACTGAGCTACCCTGTGTGAGCTACAGTAACTTTTCCCTATTTTCTCTTTGCAAATTCATCTCGACCGTTTACATGAGATATTTTACTTTGCCTCAGCTAAAAGGGTCACCCTATTGGTTGGCCTACCCTCTTTGCAAAAGAGGGTGACCCTGGTACCCCGGACAACTTTTCCCCTTTTAAACACTTTAACTCACCTAACCAAGACAACTTTTTCGTTTGAGCATGCATATCTCCATTGAAACTGATAGTTGTCCTGGGTTAAAGGGACAACTTCTTTCCATATAAACGCTCGATATAGTTGGCTCGAGTAGAAAGGTGTCCCTGCTACCAGGGACAAGTTTTCTCAATGTAAATGGCCCCTTATAGTGGCTAAGGGAAAAGGCTACGGCCCTGATATATGGACTTACAACCCTTGATTGAGAATGAAAAAATGAAAAGTGTGACAAAATAAAGGGAAATAAGATGCTAATTGAATACAAACCTGTGAAAATATAACCTTAAGGTTAAGCATTTTAGATACATATTCTGGGGTGTTTTGAATTTGAATTGTTTTCAAACTGACATGAAGACAACTGCACTTTCATCTCTAGATCATATGACTTCCACTGAATAAATAACACTTTATACACTGGTCTACAACTTCTTTTGTCTCAACCTTGTAAAAACAGCTGAATATCTTCCATCTTCTATGAATTCAATAAATTATTTGAACAAATTCATGATTTTACAGATTAAAAATGGGAAATATTAATTTCAGGTAGAAATTTCCCAAAGGTAAAGAAATAGCGGCTTTGTCATTTTAGAACAAATTACTAACTTAGTTAATGTGTAAACAAAGCGAATAAGAAATGTAGAGCTGTAAGCACATAAGAAGTCGGCCACTCGAAGGTAGAAAATATCGGAAAGATCTAATAGGTAGGAGTTTATTTTAAAGGCAGATGTTTTTTCTGGTTTTATTCCTTATAATTTTTCTTCTCGGGACGTCGCCCGTCAGTAATTAATATTTTATAGCATTTGACTTTCGAGTTGTAAAAATAAAACTAAATATTTTTACTAAAACACCAACAAAACTAAACTCTATGGGGTTTAGAAATAAAGATAAGGAAAACAAAGAGTCTGGATTGGAAAGGGAAAGAGGACAAAATGCAGAAACTATAATTTTTACTCGCGAATGTTGCTTATGAGCGAAGGAAAAAAACTATTTTAGAAATATAAATTAATTCCGTTAATTTGGGGTTCAACCCCAAGCGTTTAAGGAAACTAAATGACTTCCATATATTAAAACACATAAGATAGAACAAATATCGGGATCTAAATCTGGTGCTCATGCGAAAATATTTTGGTGTTTTACACGTAAGCTATTTCACTTTAGGGGGGTCGACGAACAGGTTAACTGTACTTTACGCATAAACCGGTACCCGAAAAAAAAATAGAAAAAACGACAATTATTGAACTGACTATCGAGGTAGCAATGATAAAGATCGTCGCTTGACTAACCTGTGGTTCTTGAATAATTTTTGTGATTCTTCAAAGCCATTGTTAAGAAGAAGATTTATTCCGTCGCGAGCAAGACTGTGGTAGCCCCAAAAACCCTCCGACTTTTTTGTATTTTTTCCTGCAAAAGAGCCACCTCGTGAGACTCCTTTGGAGGAACTCATGAAGCGAGAAACCTTCCCTGAGCTTGCTGCAGCTCCTTACTAGGAAGTTTCTCAAAAAATGAACTAAACAAGAAAGGAAAACACTGAGTCCTTTTATTCCTGGATACTTCGCGCCATGTTTTGATTTGGAAGCTCACCTTGTGTTCAAGGTAAAGCTTCAGGGCATGTTCTCATTGGCTAAAACCAATCGGAAAATTATGGTCCAAAACGTTCATTTATCGACTTAAAAATATTTGGAATAGTTTGATCCGATGATGACTCGAAATATTTCCGAGAACTTGTACGAAAATTTCACGAAAGCAACGAAAATGAATATTATGGTCTGTCTTGTCCTCTATGAACAAAATGGCGTCTTTAGGTAGTCGTGGAGCACAGAGTCTGTCCTTAGGACAACGCGTTTTTACGGCTTTTAGAGAGTGGTATGTCTACGCTTGTGGATACAGACAGATAGGTGTGTTATTTTCGCATGTTTTGCTTTGATATGTAGTTAGAATATCACGGGAAAGCTATGTGAAATGCTGCATAAACTTTTACTTAAAGTTCACTTGAAATATTACATAAGCAACGTCCTTACAAGAGTCTACGTTACTTAAAAAATATTTGTCGATGTACTATTTTAAATTCAGTTAACAGAATATTGCTCCTCTTTTTTTCCGTTTATTTGGGAAAAAAATTTGAGCTGGATAGTAAAAATTAATATGCATTTGTCATAAGCTTAGCTTCCCTAGCTTCTATAGCTCTCGTTATTCTAATATTCATAAAACTTGCTTCTGCCTCTGCCCAATTTTAACTTACTTGAAAAAGTTGAAAATACAATTCAGTCAATATTGTTCCTAAAGTGCTAAAAATTATTTATATATTAGCTGATTTAGTTATTATTATTATGGGGTACTCTTTCTTTCCGGTTTTATTGACTTGATCTTTAGTCATTTTTTTAAACAAATTAAAGCCTTTGAAATAGCCATAGTATAGATGTACCCAAAGTAAATTTCAATTTATTTTTATGTGCATGTGATTTTTCAGGTTTACACAAAGAAGATCTTCTTATAGAAGATGATCCTGATGTTACTGAAGCTTTGAAGAGAATACCAGAAGACTCCTTAAACATGAGGAACTTCCGTATCAAGAGAGCCATTGATGTCACCATGAAACAAACAATATTGCCAGAGGAACTGTGGACAAAACCTAGCGAGGTGAGTATTGTTTGACTGGGTATGCCAAGTCATTATGGACACCCACTTGTTTTTTAGTCCTGTGTCCTTTTACTGCATGATATGGATACCCTATTAGTACACCACATCTTGCTTGACAGTTCTGCTTGTCCAGGGCTTAAAATAACAGCCAGACATTGGAGAATGTCCGCTCAGAATAAAGGAAGTTGTCTGGTCAAATGTTTATTTTGCCAGTCATTTTGACCAGTAATGTTGAGCCAGAAACCTGGTAGGACCGAGCTCAAAATAATTTGGCAGTTTATTATGATCGGCAACTTACTGGCCTTTACTTTAAGCCATGCTTGTCCAATGGGTGTCTTTATTAACAGGATTAAACTGGAATAGGGAATATAATGGCATAGGATCCAAAACATGGTGCAGAATTTATTTCTATCAAACTTACAGTAGTGCTCAAATTTGACCATGGGTTTATCCAATCAAAATGCTTGGCAACTATTATGACACAGACATGATTCAGCACTTCATGCAGTATGGCCCACATTGTTGTAAACTTCAATTTGACTGTGAAAATCTGGTATGACTGTGAAAAACTAGTGAAACATTATTACCAATTCTGGCATGTCTTACCATTGCTGTGACATGATAATAACCTACCATGTTCATTTTCAATATCTTCATTGGCAAAATATTCATAGAAAAAAAGATTAGTTGAGACTATACTTACAGCGCAACCAGTGATTTTGACAGAATTTTGACCTGTGGACTTTTTTGGGCTCAAATAAAATTATTTTTGCATCCTGTTTGTTTAAAATAGTGTTTTGTGTCAGAGGAAAAAAAGCATCCAATGCTGAATCCCTTATTATGGTATACAATTATTTGATTATAGGATGTTCCATTTCTGGACCCAATAATCCAGCAAGTTAAAGCAGAGCGCAAGGAACGAGAACTGTGGGACAAACAGTAGCCTCCAAGTCTAACTGGAAATTCTGAGATTAAGAAAACAATTAACATTCTTTCTTCAAGGATACCTTCTGGGATTCTACATGTAAATTAAGTTGACTTCAAATCTGTTGTTTCATCAAATTGTTTGCTTTTAATCAAATAGATTTAACTATTTGATTAGCGTGTGGCTGTAAGATAAATAAAGTGGTTTTTATCAGAAAGCTTTTGTTTGTTCTTTTGAGTGTTACAGTACAAGTAATTAGAGACCTTTAGATCCGATGACGAGTACGAGAACGAGTATGAGTACGAGTATGAGTACGAACTTTTAAAGAGAGGCACTATCTTTTTGTAGATGTGATCATGTACATAGATTGAAACTTTAGATTGTAAAAAATCGGAAATTGACTACGATTTAGTGTTAACCATGTGCACAGGACCAAGTTTAAAACTCATACTTGTACTCAATCTCGTACTCGTCGTCATATCTAAAGGTCGCTATTAACTTTGTATCACCCACCTTCAAACTTAAGAAAGGATATCCTGAGACAACTGATAAACGTCAGGGCAGAGTTACATGTAACTCACAGATCAAACCCTGAAACAACTTCTGGGCTGATCTAAGGTAGGGCATGTCAAACTCACAGATGAAACCCTGAAACAACCTCTGGGCTGATAAAAAAACAAGAATAATTCTCAAATGGAAAAGGGTTTAATTGTGCTTGCACAAATAGAAAAGTTATTTGTGTTATACCTTCATTCTGCCTAAGAAGGTCTTGCAAGGGCAATTTATTACATTGTTGCGCTTGTCTCAAATCAAAGATTAAGGATTAAAACAGGGCCACTGGTAGTTAAGGTCCTTAGGCTGTAGAGTAAATTCTAAACCTCTAAAAAACTTTGATTTAAACGTTTTTTTATTTATATTTTTACAATTGTATTTTCCATTGTCTAAATAACAATTTGAGTTGGAAGAATCACTTTTTCCTGGCTTGTGCTTACAATTATGAGGGGTTTCTTTCACAGTTTTATGTGTGGAATGATTTGGACTTCCACCCCATTGCAAGTGAAAACCAGGCTTACTACCATTGTTGTTGAAGTACGGCCCGCAAAGCTAAATGTCTTGTTTGCTGACTTGCATTTCGAAGGCCGTCTTTCAAGGAACATAAATTCCAAAAAATTAATATTTTGAAGGAGATTTTTGACTACATTAAAGATACATGTATTAAATTCCTCAAATCCTTTAAAATCTTTAATACTCCATTTTACAGTTCCATTCAGTGACCACGAATAATAGTTGCAAGTCGAGGCTGCAGTTTCCACGCATAGCAAAACTATACTTTTTTGATGCGCGGAAACTCCAGCCTCGGCTTGGAACGGAACTGTAAAATGGAGTTTAAAATCTCCCTAAAACTATAGTGTTTTATTATTTTAGTTCTTTAATTGATGTTCATCGAAATGCTAGTCAGCAAACAAGACCTCAAGTTTTGCTGTTCGCACTTCAACAATAAATAGTAATGATTGGTTTTAAAAATAAATGACATGTTTGTCAAAATTAAAATAAATTTTTCTCACGTCATTGCTAATCACTTTTCAGAACAAATGATGTAATGGGTACAAAACTAATATCTAATTACAGTGCCTCATAACTGTTGAAATATTTCATACAATACGTGGTATTACATCTGTTGGAACACATCTCACGGCAGTAGATTTGTGATCATGAGATTTTCGTGTACTACATGATCACATTTGAGCAGCATGCATCTGTAGTAGCAATGTAAAAGATACTGCAATTTGTAGTAGCGTTCAAAAACGAAAATGGACTTCAAAGCAGTAATGATGAAAAGGTAAGTTATACACCGTGAAAAGATGAAAAAACTTACTGACRTTTCGGACGCTAGTCCTTTGTCAGAGTAAAAGAGCTTCAGACTTCAAAGCAGATGGTTAAACAGAAACATTAAGGATAAGTTCACTAATGCAAACTTCAACTACCAGTATTGCCAGAATTATTGGACTAAATGCACCATGTCGTACATTACAAGAGCTGTGTTTCTTTCTGCCATTCTTTTTCTCATGTGGTACACATAAATCATACATAAATCTACCAATTGAGATTCCATTCCAAAGGAGGTTAGGCAAAGCAGTGCTTTACTTGCTAATCTATATATTTATACTCTACTATATAATTCTTAATAATTATTACCACAATAAATCTTGGGGTGCACTGGAATTCAACTCCTACATGAAGAATATTGTAATGAATTAATAAATTATAATACAAAATTTCTTAGGCTGGAAGAAGAAACTCTCTGAAGCCATTCTAGCCTACTCAACAGGCAGCTATCTCTTTCTAGCTGTTCTTTCTTTTTGGTAATTTCCTATCATTGTGTACACTTACATTAATAATAATGGTAATTAAATGGGATTAAAAGCAAAAAAAAAAAAATTCAACCTCTAGCTTAGGCCAAGGGGGCTTTGGTTTATTAGCATGTGGGGTCGGCAAAATTGTAGAGGGGTTACATTATTTTGCGAAAGTGTTTAGAGGGGGGTTACCACATACTGAGGGGGGTTGAGAATTATTGCAGGATGATGAGGGGGTTATGAAGTTGTTGCTCCTACCATGGAGGGGGTTGGGTTATGTTTGTAAAGCTTTATATGTGATTTTGCCAATCCCCCCTCCCCAATGTGCTAATAATTAAAGCCCCCAAAATTATTTCTACTGCTACTATATTTATTTAAATTCTTATATGAAAAGATCCTCGACTAAGATTGGAGGGAAATCTGATTATTAAAAATATCCATGAACTTAGTGAATGAAAAAGAATAAGTGATAATTAGTTCTATAGCTTAACTTTCTTACTTGGTAAGAAATTAAAAACCTATCAATCAATTCTGTTGTTATTAACAGCATCCACTTTTTTGTGGTTCCATTTGACCAGATCTCATTCCTTGTTTGTTCATTGCACCAGATGTCGTGTCAGGGAGTGTAATGGATTCAGGATCTTTAGGGATGTCATCGAAATTATGAGCTTTTTCATTTGCTAAAATCTGTAGAAATAAAAAAAAAAAAGATTTCAAGCTTTAATCAGTTTATAAAATATTGCACATCCATGGAGCTGGTGAAGGGAATGATTAACCACACCATCAACAAATCCTCGTGATACAGAATACACAGTCATAAGCAGCATTAAAAAAAGTTTCCTATAATAAGAATCTGACCCTCACTTTTATTAAGCCATCCCATTTTTATCCATGCATTTTTGTGACATTAAAAGAGAAAGATAAAAGATTATTTGGTGGAAAGATTCTTTGGTAGAAAGTTTAACAATGATATTATAATCATTACAAACTAGATTCCAGTATTCTCTTCTGTATTTGAGGAGGATCTCAGCCTATGGTTACCTTGGAAACAAGGAATGACGCAGCTTCACCAACATTTATATCTTCCTTTGCAGAGGTTTCAAACCAGCCTATAAATCCTTTATCTGAACAATACTCATCCATTTGACTGCTGTTATTGACTAATCCCTCTTTAGCTTGGTCACACTGTGGATTTATTCAAAAATATTTTAATTAGTCACCGTTCATCATCGAGGGTAATCCACTCCTGGCTTCTAAAGAAGAAAAGAATGCCTGTTCTGTCTTCATTCATGTGACCAGCCAAATTAGCTTTAGCTCAGTCAAATACCTCATTTCTGGCTTAATGTCAGTGGTCAAAATGACAAGCAAGGCAAAGATTTGACTGGACAAGTTCCAGTTTTGGCTGGAAATTGTCCTATGCCTATCCGTTATTTTTTGCCCTCTTAAGAGAAAGTCTGTCCACTCTTGGCTCTCTTAACTACAACCATATAAAGGACAGACTTTACTTCATGGATAAAGATATACATGCATTAGCACAAATTGCATCAGCCTTCCTGTAAATAATAAAGAAGCCTAACCCTTCCATAGATCAAAATATACTGACTGAAAAAACTTAGACATTTTAGAATCTTCCATTTCACATATTGGCTATACCTTGTTTGCTAATAAAACAGCCGGTACAGGTTCTCCTGTTGGTAACGTGACTTTGTTATCAAGATCATTCTTCCATTTCTGTACGGCTTCAAATGTTGATGCTCTTGTAACATCAAATACAATGAATGCCCCAACAGCTTCTTTATAATACACCTAAGTAAACAATATTGCATTTTAATCTGTGAATATTTTGTGTATTGCAGCTGAGCAATATTTAAAGTGGGGGGTGGGGGGGGGGGATAATATTTGTTTGAAACTAAGAGAAATTTAAGAGTCAAATGGGTTTCATTAAGTTTTGAAATAATAGCAGAAGGTCATGAACTAGCCAGAGAGTCTATACTAAAGTCTTAGTCTAAGTCTAGTTTGAAACAAAGATTAGCCCCCCCCCCCTTAAATTGTGCTCTGCTATCCCTGTGCATGCATACTATTAAAGAAGTAGCTGATAAAGGACAATGGACTACTTTAACGGTATGGCAGCCATTTTGGACTGCAAGGCATCATGGGGCATCAAGGGGACAAATAAAGAAATGTTACAATAATGACTTTGATTGAAATTAACAGCTCCGTCACCAAAAGACAATACAACAAGAGATTTATTAAGACAGCACATCATCACCTTTACCCATAAAAGAAATACAAACACACAAAACTCTACATATACTTTCTGTCATCTTTGTTTTGTTTTGTCCTTGGCAAGATGGCTGCCGTATCATTGAAGTAGTCTATTATGAGGTGTGTGAAACACATCATACAGCCATCCCTTTTAGATTTTAACTTATTTTTTACTCTTATTTACTGTGCAGACATCAAACTGGGACCACTATGATAAATTAATATATATAACATCCCTTCAATCAACCCTCATCACCACCACATCTATCTCAGCCTGAAAAGCTTTTCATTATATTCTTCTTTGCTCTATACTTACTCTTGTCATATTTCCAAATCTTTCTTGACCTAAAAAGGAAAATCGTAAAGCATAAATTATTTTATTCTCGGGAAACTTTAAGTTTGGTACAGTACAGGCCCTATGATTCTATGTAAATGCATATACATTGTAGCTGCATAGGTGTATTAAATATCATAGACTAGAAAGAGCAGGTTTTTTTTCCAAATGACTGTGAAAAGCTTGCTGCATCTTCAGGAATGCAGCCATGATACGGCAAGGCATACACCACACTATTCACACTGCAAAAAAAATTTGCCATCCATCTAATCAAGTACCCGAAACACAACATGAACACTGCRTGGAGATGGTCAGAACCAAGGTCACGGCACTACCTAATCACATATTGAGTGAGAAAAAGATCTGCCAATAAAAATTCTAGAAAAGATCAACAACCCGACAAGGCATGCATGTGGCACTGAGTTTTTCATAGTCGTACGAAAACTGCCCTGTAGTATCATGCACCTGCTATATCCCAGAGTTGTAAACGGATAAGTGTATCTTCATCCCAGTTAATGACTTTAAGAGCAAAGTCAACACCAATCTTGACAATGTTAAAGAATAGCATAGAAATACTTAATTCAATAATTTATTATCAATTAGATAGTAAGGTCAAGACTTCTACTGGCAAATTCAATTGCTGGATATTAGCCTTTTTTCCATGTTTCAAAAAAATTTCTTACCGGCATTTGCATTCCTACGCAGCCACCCCAGATAAAAATCGTGACGCGCACTTTGCAATAAACTGCCGTCAATCAAACAAGTTGACGTCATTTACACGCGTTTGGATCGGCCCGGATAGGCCCAGTGAGTATGGCTCATAATACTTGTAAACAATCAACCGAAGTTTTGGTGCCTTTTGAATCACACGCGTGTAAATGGCGTCAATGTGTTTGATTGATGGCAGTCTATTGCAAAGCGCACATCACGATTTTTGTCTGGGAAGGCCGCGTAGCAATGCAAACGACGGTAAGCTTAAGCACATCAAACTGAGTTAGACAAATGATTTACTAGTAATTATTTTTTGATTGATGGAAATAAATGCAAAAATCCAAACGTCTAGAAGTCATTAGGTCAAACAAACGAGAACACAACTAACGTCTATATTGGACCGTTTGTACTAAAGTAGAAAAAAGGTATTAAAATATTCGACTTTGCAAATAAAAAAATGTCTTATGATTACAAGGCAACCCTTGCAAAGCGGAAATCTGCAGTCACAGCGCAGACTTTCACAGCACATTGTTTAGTGTGCAAATTCAATTATTTAAGTTATGGACAAAGGAAGTCCTTGAAAACAAGCTGGCTTATTAAATCAAGGATACGGTAGCCCTATAATGCACTGAGAAGAACTGATGCACATATCTTTTGATGATGCTCGTCTTTCCTACGCCAAGATCACCAATAACTAGAACCTTGAACAAATATTCTTTCTTTTCTCCCTCTGAACTCTGTGGAAAAAATAATAATTTAGCTTCTTTGTGCTTTTTTAACAGGCTAGGATGAAAGTGAAATAAAATTTGGATCAAAATGCAGTCATATTTTTACCATTCTGCTGCATAAACACCGTTGCAGATGATGTCCCTCAAAAGCATGTCAGTATCATGTGATTAATCTTTTCCTTCCAAGAATAGTAGAATAGAACGACGCTTCTGATTGGATGATGAATTGCCGGTGGAATCTCCACCTTATATTACGGCTGTTTTGATTCGCAGTAACACGAAACCATATTTCTGGAAAATACTTATTTTTGCTTCTTTATAGCTTCTTCTAACTATTCTGTCTTTGTTAAGAAATGTTATGCGCGTCTTGTGAGTTTATGTACATATGGTTATCTTGAAGATTTTTTAAGGACTCGCTTAGTGTCACTTCTATCAATAAGTGGGTTACCTGTGGTCTGATCGGAGAGTAATACACAGGAATCCCAATTAAAAACACCTCATAATATATTGATAATATATATACCACGTATTGAATCAACCTTCGGCTAGATAGCAGTTCAAACTTCAATGCAACGCACTCCATAGTAAATAGTGTTCCACGTATGCGCATAGTACGTTTGGCCTTCACACAAAATCAAATCATTCGATTCCATCATATTTTTAGGGCTGAAGATTTTAACGAATATTTAGATTGATTCTCTATCTGGTTACGACATTAAACTAAAAAATATTAGCATAGTTGAACGAAGTTACACACAGAAACTTATTTTGTTGTTTACAGTCGAGTCTATTTTTAATTTTTTCCCGGTCCAGAAACTACTGCCGGTCACATAGCGTCCGATGACCTTAAGGACGTTCATGATAATCAAAATAACTGTCTTCATAACTTTTTTAAATTAATTTGAAGAGTGAAAATGCATTATAATAAGAGCAAAATTAGCAGCTTAAAAATAGAATCATTAAAGAAGTTTGTGTGTCATTTAAAATATAAAATTCTCTTTTTTTTTTTTTTTTTGGCATTGGCAGCCATATTGGATTTGAAGGCCAAGAGCCTGGGACGAGCTGAGCAATGAGATGCGCGTGTTGATGCGCGTAGGTAAACGATGCCCTTAAATACTCTAATTACATAAAAAGAATATTTAGTTATAGAAGCATATATAATCTTTTTCTAGTATTTAGCAATATCTAAGATTTGGGACTGAGCACAACTCATAGAATATATTAACGTAAAACTGTCCAATTTTCGATTTCGTATCTTTTAGCGCTGGTCTGATTTAATTTTTTAATTTTTCAGCGTTGCTCATTTATACTACTAAAAAACAAGTTGTGACCGAGAACAATAGTTGATTTTGTTGAACTTTTCCTGAACGGGTACCAGAATGTAGGGTCAGGCTTTCTTGTTTGCACTGCACATGCGCGAGTTCTTAACTCGTTCGGCGACCATTGATCCATATCAGTCAGTCCACCAAACTGGTCTTTAAGCAATTTTCTTCCCTGTCGTTTACAAAACCCCATTGTTCGAGAAAAGGGAGGTGGGAGAAGACCATAAGCGATGGAATTTGATGGCGATACAGCTCAAGAGCGACACAAAACGACTCTTTTGTCTTGTAGTTCTTCTTGGCGTTTATCTCTTTTGCGGAGCAGCTGTATTTCAGGTTTTAGAGAACGAAAATGAAGCTCATCAAGTTGATCATTTGAATGGAATAAGACAGACACTTTTTAACAAGTATAATATTTCTAAAGAGGAGTTTGATTTCTTAGTACGTAAGATAGAGATGGCGACGAAATATGGCTGTGGTGGGCCGCCAGATAGCTGGTGTATATCAAGATGGTCTTACTATGCCTCGCTGTATTTTACATGGAGTGTTGTTACCACAATAGGTAAGAATATAATTAATATCAAGTGTAAACTAGGAGCAGCAAAACTGATTCCAACAGCGTTATCATGTTTGCAGTGAGTATGAATTTGGTCATTCTTGGGTGAACAAACAACTTTAAGAAGAATAACACGAGAGGGGGAACCCTTTCTTTTAATCCCTTGAATCCGTGATCTTTTCAATCAAATGTTGCTAAGTCATCAACTCATTAAACTGTGTTCGTATTTGAGGCTAAATTTTAAAAACTTTCAGTTCCCTTTTTGATTGCTTTTCAATGTTAAAACATCGATACTGTCATTTGCTCGACAAAATATTTTGCTTCAAAGGCGCACAAGCGTGTTTAATAAACAGGTTGAACAACGTAATACTATAGATTTTTTGTACCATCACGTGCCCGCGCCCATAATACAGCTTGGACTACCTGTGGTTAGATGGCAGAACAATAAAATTCCTTTGCTCTTGGGAATTGAATTCTTTCTCATGTAAAACGATCGTTTTGTTCCTGCCATCCAACATGGTTGCTGACACGTGATGGTGCAAAGTGTCTGTAGTCGCTGTAAAATCCCCTATAGTACAAATGTTAACTAACACCTTTGTGATTTATTGAGCTACCCAACGCTATATACGGATTGAAAATTATCCACCATTTTATTTGATGGGATACATCTGAATTTAAACTAGAAATAGTACAATACAAGGATACAATAAACATATCTGTTCAGTATCTGTTCAGTGCGGCGAGCCTTGCCTATTGTTTTCCGATAGAAATAAGTGAATAACAACGGGCTGCCTTAAGTTGACTATGTATTTCCTCAATAACAATTATATGTCCCAATAGAAGTAACGAAAAGCAGGCGTTTTATACTAACTAACGACCCACAGTCTTCCACCGCCTTCCTACCTTGTCGTCAGCGCTTGGTCTCACCGGCGACAGCCCGCTGACCAAAAAGCCGGAAGACTCTGGGCTCGAGATTGCGACTGCTTAGGAGACTAGCATTTATTTAACACCCTGGACAATCGTTAATCGAAGAAGACCACTACTTGCGCAGTTGCGCAACTCTGCTATCCTTAATTTGTGTAGCTTTAACCATCACCGTTAATGCACATCATGAATTTTGAATTTTGTTAATATATTTTAAGGGTATGGTCACTTGGCTCCCGCAACTATGGAAGGACGAATATTCTGTATGGTTTTTGCATTTTTTGGAATCCCGCTCAACCTAATGATCCTCAAAAACATTGGCGATCGCGTCAACGATCTTATCCATTACATTCATTATCTGGTTATCGTCAAATTGAGTAAAAAAGACGTTGAAGTTCTTCGGACAAGAACACTTGTATGGACGCTTGGATTTGTAATTATCATGCTGTTGTTTGGAGCGACGCTATATTCGCAGACAGAACACTGGAACTTCTTTGACGGGATTTACTTTTGTTTTGTGACTTTCTCGACGATAGGGTTTGGAGATTTGGTGCCTAATCAAGGTAAGTGGATAAAATGGGCTTTGAATGGGTAGACCTTCAATTCAAGGTCGTAAGATACCGCTGTCTTCCTGCATGGTTAAGGGCTAATTTACTCTGGGTTAGCGCACCTCATTTCAGTATCAAAATATTCACAAATATTTGCCAACAGACGATGACATGGTGGCATTTGTAGAATGTGTTGTTACGGCTTTGTCTCTGGCTGATTCCATAGTTCAAGCTTGGGCTCATTAATTCCATATGCTAGCTCACTTGATTGTTCGCCACAAACCTCTATGTAACGATCGCCACTGGGGTGGTCGCTTTAGGAGGGTTCTACTTACAATCAATAATTCTATGTATTGATTTTCAGGGGGACCCCCGAAAAACGTCCCAGACGGTTTATTAGAAGTACTGCGTGCTTTAGTGATAATCCTTGGTCTTTCCATGTTCTTCTCGATCATCTCGTCCATTCTTAGCGCATCAGAAGAGTTGCGCTTAACATTTCCGCTAACCAGAAAAAGCAAAGAAAATGGAGACAAAATTCAAAATGGAACAATAAAAAAATCTGACGAAAAACAAAACGATCAAACAGACTAAACAAAATATAAGCTTATTATTGAGAGAACATTATCTTTTTGTACAAAAACCTATATATACTATAAAGGAAGATGCTTTGGTAAAAATTCTTATCTGATTAGAACAAACAATAAATGAGATATTATTAAAAAGTTTCAAAGTTTCAGCAGCTCAATCTGGGGTCCAAAACTAAAAACAATAGAGAGTTTTAGATTCACGTTCACGGCAAACGTGAAACGTCAGTTGACCAGTAAAAAATTCTTTTAAATTACTGAAAAAGAATCGCAAAAAAGTCCAAGTATTAGAAAAACAAAAGAGTATTTGCGCTTGGTGAGAAGGTTTGTAAATAGTAAAGTAAAATACAGGAAAGCTATGAAAACATGGTCACGTTTGCCGTTTGCGGGGAGAAAAAAAAGTCAATCTAAAACTCTCTAATAGGTTCCAATTCACGGGAGATAATTGGAATCCTTTTGTTTTGTCGCCCGGATCGAGCTGCTTTGACGTCACATGCCAAGGGGTCTAGCTATAGGAAATTTTAAGTTTTTGTAACTCTTTCTATTTGCTATTTTATTTCTAAATGTTTCACTGATAATAAAGTGTTTTTATACTGATATCAAATAGCAGCGTTTAGAGCAAATCGATTCGATATGAATCAGTGTGAAACTGCACGGCACCGCGCTCATGGTACGGAATAATAATATCCTTTGACTCAATCAGAGCGAGCCGCGAGTCACTGCTCATCGTCCAATCAAAATGCTCGAACGTGTCACGTTTTTCATCATACGCAATTTGCTCTAAAGCTTTCGTCAGTTTCGTTTCGTTGCAGTCTTGTGTCGCGTCGTACTTTAAACAGTCGTGCCGTCTACGCCTTATTCGTTTGGGCGTATAATGTTCTCAGCTCATTTCAGACCACGTGTCATTCTCTTGAGAGTAAGGTTATTTATTTTGATTGTATCCATATCCATGTTTCTTTAGTCTCATACACAGCTGTAGGAAATATTACACCTAGACGAATATAGGGTCTATTTCTTCTCTTTTTGACATCAAGACGATAAAAATCATGATATTATAGTGATAATCTGTTTTCAATCAAAAGTTATTATTGGGCTGATCTAAACTGGCTAACTCACAGTATCGCAACCTGAAACCGCATCTGGGCTGATCTACTAAATCAAAACGTCGGTGCGTTAACTCACAGATTTAACTCACAGATCGAACCCTGAAACAACCTCGCGGCAAGTTCGCTTTTGCCGGATTGACGAATGGCAAAAGCTACGGCGTCTAGAATAAGAGACTGACGAGGAAGATAAAAAGTTAAATTAAAAATAATGTTTTATGGTGAATTGTGTCAAAAGCTAAGGTGGAAAACTAGTGAAAACTAGTGTAAACTGCGTCGGTGTTTTCAGTAAAACAATTGATAGATAGATAATTTGTAACACCGTATGGTATGTAAAAATGAAACTGACGTTTCGGACGTTAGTCCTTCATCGGGGTAAACCAAAAGCTGGTTGGCTGGAGTTGGAATCTAAATCATGCTTCGTTTCATTTCTTGTTAAATGTTCTGAAAGAAATATCTCTACGCTTGAAAAAACTCATTCACTGGTAGCCATAACTAGAACAAACGGGTGACATTTAGAAGGAAAAAACGATGTTAACTGCTAATCGTAGAGCGAAAAAGCATGACAGAAAGGTGTGACCATGAACTGTTCTTCGTCACTTACCTAAAGAACTTCGCTCCGCCTTGCTGCGACTCGCGTCATACTTGTTTTTAGATTTTTTAATTATTTTGTCAACAGATCTGCGATTCGTAAACACGTCTTATCACCTAACAAATATCTCCTCTACGTTCACTGGCAATCTTTTAAAACAACAACTGAGATGTGAGTTAAAAATACTCAACGCGAAAAAACGCCACCGCGAAGATCCTTACTCGACAAGGACGATAGACCATGACAAGCTATGAGAGTAGAATATTTGATAACATTAGCCTTCCTAACGGCTTATTCTGTGTTTGGGATATCTCATGGCCAATACTACTATAGGTATAACTATCGACCTAGGAGTTATTTAGACTTTCGTAGAGTTGCATCGCGCCCAAACCCGAATCGATATTTCTCGTCCACATCCAAGTACGTTTTGTCTCCGGGCTGGTACCGTAGCAGACAAGACTTTTGGAAAGCACGAAAAAAGGTAGGACAGACTTTCTCATAACTCATGATCATTATTTAATTTGGTTTTTTATTAGCGAAGGCCTTGTTAATCAATAACCTCTTGTATTTGTGTGTACTGCCTGTTGACAGGTGGGATGCCCTGTCAGTAGAGAGAATTTGTCCACACAATTCAAATTACTAAATATTTTCTTCGCGACCTAGTAAAAGAATGGTCGCAAGATTAATTTGCTAAGATTTTTGAGACATTTTCTAAATAATCTTTGAAATATGTTTATTCTAATGAATATTATACTACAAGAAGTGGGGATGACAGAGCTGTTCTAACCAGGAAAAGGTTACAGGTGGTAAAGAAGTCGTGACAGGACCCCATTTGTCAACCTTGATAATTATATTCATACTACCGACTCAAAAACTTATAAAAAGTGCAATTTAAATATGTCTAAGAAAGAACACAAAGCCTTTGCTTAAAAGATATCTAGATCTAATTATGAGCCTGTAAAATTGTAGTAAATTCGATCCTAGTAAGTAAAGTATGTAGCCAAGTTTTGGGATGGTTTTCTGGATGTTTTCGCGTGGAGCATCATATTGTTTTGAAACGCACCGGTTGTTTTCATCATATAGTTCTTGCTCTACACAAACTCAGCGACGCAATTAAGCTTTTCAAATTATCTTTATGAAAACAGTGTGCTCGAAAATTAATATCGCACTTTGAACTCATTTAGTGAGCCACACTGTGAAAAAGCGAGGTGGTCGACTCGCGATTTTTAAATGGTTTCCTAACTCAAGCTTTACATTTGATTGGAAGTTTTCCGGGTCTTTCGATAGGTGATTGGCTTAGAGTGAAAACCAATTTAGTGTCACGGTACACGTTTTTCCAACTCATACAAAAACCGTGTATAGAAAATTTCCTTGCAATGTGGATGAAAGCCTAACCCAAATTTACATGGGGAAAAAATGATTATCACATTCAAAAGTCAATATTAATAAAAACGTACTGTAAATTTTAATAGCGCCTTAAACGGTCCATATCGCATAGTCCCCAGAGAGTTAACTGACAATAGAGATGGCAGCCATATTGGTGTACCTAACAAAAAAAATGACGAAGTTATTTTTAAAGGTACTCCAATATGGCGGCTGTGGCCTCATGCGGAAACGCTCTATAAAAGAGAACATTTTTGGTCTTACTGACTGACTGATCATATTGAATGTCTTAGAATGTGATTGCCATTGATATCGCCATGGTTACGTTACCTTATAGATGTATGGTTACCAAGATGGGATGGAAAGTACCATGATATCAACTACCGAGTCTCCCAGCATGACAACGAACCCCTACCCTCCCCAGGACGGTATAGCAGTGGTCAGYTCTGACCAATCCTTCCCCTCGACCATGCAATCACCTGTCTCTCAAGAGCCGGTCCAGCAGCCCTACATACCGGGGTACCCTGAATCTAGTGTCATAGAAACCCAGCCTACAACTCAAGACCTATCCTCATTATCATCTGCCATGTCAGTTCCAATGACACCTGCCAATCAAGGTGTAACATCTACAGTAGCAACTCCTGCGCCTGTGCAATCCCTTGCCGTGCAGTCTATACAACAACAGACCACGGCAAGCCCTCAGACTATGCAGTTTGGGGTGACAAAGTTTTCAAAGCCTCAATCACACCTGCTTCCTTCATCATCATCGGGTTCAAAGTAAGAAAATGACAATATATATTTTTCGATATTAGAGATCGGGGGAAACACGTTTGGTGTGCGCATGTGCTGTTATTGCGCCTTTCTCTCACCACTGTGGTAATGGTTTGATCCTCTACCGCCCTAATTTGCGGAAGATTGGCTTACCAGTTGTCCCCTTGTCTTCAGTTGGGCGTTTCCTCCGAATTCTTCTGTATTTTCCAATTCCAAGACGTAAATCGCCCTTTTTACTGATACGGCGGCCATCTTGAATTATGAGATACCGAGGGGGCAAACGTTGAACATTTATAAAACATAGAGTGACGTGGTTACTTTTTCAAATAATTTGGAGTCTTGCTGGTTCGCATATTGTTCCAACTACCATTAAATTCAATTGTTTTTTAGATGTGCTTGTCATTAAAGAAGGCAAAATTATATAAAAATACATCCTGAAAGCTGTTGAGGCTATAAAATTTTCGATATTTGTCCCCTCGGCATCTCATTATGTCTTCATTAAAACAACAGAATTCAAGATGGCCGCCGTATCGCTAATAAGGTTTATTCCAGATGTAAATGATTTCAATTGAAGTTATTTTTTTAAAAGAAGGACAAGCAAATCACGAAGCGTTAATCGTATTTTTTGCAGGCTGGTTACTAATGCTGAGTTCAAAGAGCACAACTCATCGCGCATATGTAATCCTGGCCCTCCCTTACGACCAAACCCGAGGTTAAAGAACTGCCTTGTCATAGGAGACTCTATTGCTTTGGGGTAAATAACTCTCTGTCTATCTGACTATAAACATGGCTGTATTTGTCTGTCTACAAATCCGTGTGTGTGTATTGTCATAGTGTCTGTCTGTCTGATCGTCTAAACGTATTTTCTTTTGACTTTGTATACGTCCTTGCGTATGTTTGTCCGTTCCATTGTGCGTGTCTGTTGATTATTATGACAAGATGTCATCGAAATGTATTTTTATAATTATTCTCATAACCATCACCATCCTTTATGCCTTTGTGGCAAGTAGGGCCGACACCAAGGACTTCATAGTTATTATGCCTATGTGGATTTGTCTGTCTGTTTCAGTCCACTCGCAGGGCCGTAATCAGGGTGTGAGCACAGGGTGCACGTGCGACCCCCCCCCCCCTTCCCCCCATAAAAGCTTAAGGTCCGATCATCTATCTCCTTTTACTTTAAATTACTTTTTTTTTTTTTCTTGGTTCTTGGGGAATTTTTTCGGTTACGTTTTTTTTTGGTTCTGCAAATCATTGCCTGTGCACCTCCCCTGCAAGATCCCTGGTTACGCCACTGACTCGTATTACTCGTTTATCCTTTTCTCACAAGATATTTTTACTCAACATTTTTCTAGATATCTAAAACACGTCAAGTTTCTACTCAGCAACATATGCCAAGTCCAACATGCCCCTTTTGCCCGTGGTTCAGGTGCGATGGATTCGCGCCATGGATTAAAATGCCTCCCTCTTTTTCTGAAAACTACTGCCATGGAGCCAACCAGCTACGACGCCATATTGTTCAACTTTGGCATGCACGACATTGACTACAGCAAACGCTTTCCTGAGGTAAGTTTCGTGTTTGGAACTTCTAGGTCATTTTCTGCCCCATCTAGCTGCGCTGACATTTTAACATTAATTGATAGGATAAGAAAATAATTGAAAGAAATAAGCGCAAGTTGATTAGCGCAGTGAGATAGGACCGGAAATACGAGAGAAGCTTTCAATTTTGGTTACTCCGAATTTGCATGTTTTTCAAATTCATCCCACATGGGAAAGAAGTGATCATGAGTACAAACCTTCATTCTCACGAGCGACATATTGGGTTTGCTGGTCATAGCAAGGGGTTAATCATTTACGGTCTAGGGGCCGACTAACCTCTCCCTTAGGCTTTTGCCGAGCTTCCTGATCAGGCTGTAAGTCCTCCCGGGGATAGAGGTGTTGGGGTCGAAATCTCTGGCATAGCCGTAAATGCTTTGCGCTGCCATACGACGCTTCAGCATTCGGGTCTGGGAGTATGGTCTTCGGTTATTTTTCATTAACCAAATAAGAAAAAAAATCCTCGAAAACAGTCTTCCCAGCAGGTGAACAGTTCGATTTGGGAAATTAAAGTACGTCCAAGTGCGCATGTGCACATTTTTTATGACGCTAGTTTATTTCATATTTCTCATTTTTATGTTTTTACTTTTCTTTCAAAAGGAACATGTTCCTTTCGAGGAATACAAGGACAATTTACTCAAACTAAAGGAATCTTTCTTGAAGACTGGAGCAAAGGTGGCATTCGCTCTCACCACACCGTTCCCTAGCGACAAGAAAAGAAACGATCGAATAGAAAAGTTCAATGCAGAGGCGGTGAGGTAAACATAAGAAGATCTATACATCTGATATATACACTTGTATTTTGGGTGGAGTTAATGTTTATTTCTGTGGGTTTTTTCTTGGGATGCAATGTGGTCTAAGCTTTGGTAAAAGCCAAACGCTATAAAAGGCATGCCGGTTGACTAAGATGTTTGTTCTCACTAGACCACAATGCACCATGTTCACCATCTCAGAAAAGGACAGTTGCACGCAAATTTTATTGGGTCTGATGAAAATCAGGACACTGCTAACTCACTGAACGAACCCTGGAAGAGTCTCTGAAAGCTAGTCAGGGCATAGCTAACACACTGATATAGAACCTTGAAACAACCTCTGGGTCGGTCTAAGTTAGGAGAGTGTTAGTTTCAAGCTGCGGAGAGAGGAAAACTGCAGAACTCGTCCAAAAACCGTTAAATCAAGAGAGATATCCAACAAAATCTACTCGAATGAGATGGCAAGTTCAGGAATTGAACCCGGGCAGCAACACCAAGCAATCGTGAATGCAAAGTCAAAAACACACACGATTAAATATCGCGGTTGCGTGCAACATGCGCGAAGACGTGAAGACAAATGCTACAGTCGTGTCGCGTTTTTCTTTGACCCAATTCGCGGTGACTAGTTATCAGACTAAACACTTTTTATCAAGTCTGATCTATTCTGATATATCGAAACAGGATCATGGAGGGTGGTCATCGCATACCAGTCGTCGATCTTTACACCCTGGTGGTTAAAAAATGCGGGAAACCAACCTACGACTCTTGTTCAATCATGAAGGGACCACGTGACGTGGTAAGTCACGTGACATTCAACAACTGACAAAGCTACCCACTTTATTTAATACTTTTGTATCATTTGTTTTGCGTCTTCTTTTTAATTATCGGTGTATTTTCTTTTCATTTTATCGATAAATTTTTATGTTGTACATAATGTATTTCGTAACTGACGAAGGTAGACGTAATTGCCCTAACATGTGTTTAAGATAAAATTTACAACTCGAGAAATTTTTTTCAACATTATCTGGAATCGTTTTAATAGAAATGGGATAATTTCAATGGACATTCTAAAAGCATATTCATACTCGAGCATTCTAAAAGAATATTTTAAATAGGTTTTTAAGTACAAAGTTAAGATTATATGTTTTTCCCCTCTCCTACAGCATTATAACGAGGAAGGGAACCAACTGCTTGGAGTCAGGGTGGCTGCGACATTCGCTACACTTCTCGAACAACTACCTCAGAAAAGTAAGAATTAAATTCTGTTTGGTATTAAGACTAGAACGATTTTAAACATAGACCCTTTCAGCTTGGGCGTAATGTTTTCCCATTTTAGACCACGTGTCATTTCCTAGAGTATCATCATTTCTTTGTTTAACACACGAGAAGACACATGAGAAGACACATGAATGTGGATACAACTCAAACAAAGAATGTTATTCTCTAGGGCTCGGTTGTACGAAGCCTGGATAGCGCTATCCAACTAATAAATCTTATCCAGTGGATAAATTTATTGGACGACAGCATCGACTTATCCACTGGATGAGGATTTTTCCGCCGGATAGCGCTATCCAAGCTTCGTACAACCAGGCCCAGGGAATGACACGTGGTCAAAGGGGAAAACATTAGTGTCCAAGCTGAAGTCTATTCTTGGTTTGCAATCAATCCCAAGAGAGCACAATAACAAAAGGGATGTCCGCCATGTTGGAAGATGTAACAAAAGAATTCATTGAAAAATCTTTTGTCAAATTCTTCCAACATGGCGGCTATGACGTCTATTGCAAACGAAGAATCGTGTCTGTCATTAAGTTTGCCTTTAATAATACATTCCAGAAGTTGGTTACATTAAAATAAACCTTTATTGCAAAATCTGCTCTAACTCATGTGGAATCTTGTGGAATCTTTCTGTCTTTTCTTTCTCTCTCTAATGTTACTGTTAATCATCATATTTCGCTTCCAGAACGTCCTTCTCCCCGCAAAGAAATCGTTCGACGATACTTTGAAAAAAGAGGCTACCGTGACTTCTACACCCCAGATGACGCAATCACGTGCCCTGATGCAGTCACCCGCTGTCCATTAGGATCAACGTGCTGCGAGAGCTTGATCTCCTTGACAGGATATGGATGCTGCATGTTTCCAAATGCTGTCAATTGCCCTGACAACTGGCACTGCTGTCCAAGTGGATCCACATGTTCGCCTACTTGTACCGTACGTGAATGTAAATGCATTACTTACACTGCGTACAATAATGGAACGACCATTAGTCATGAATCAAAGGCCAACAAAGCAAAATACCTTGCGGAAAATAACTTATTGAACAGTGGAACTGGGGGACCCTTAGGCAAGAACTTCAAGCCCATCACTGATCCACTTTTAAGAGTTTTGAAGAAGTTAGCTAGCGCACACAAAACAAGTCCACTCCATCCAAAGAAAAATGCCCAGATGTGGAGAAAGAAACTTTTTGAGTCGAAGGGTAAACTTCAGTTTACCAATGTGAAGTCCAGAAAGTCGAAAGCAAGAAAAACGAAACATAAGACTACTGTTAGTCGGTTTAAATCAAAACAACATTCGATTAATGTGGAGTTAGGCCATTTGATAGAGCATCACCATAAACACAACTACAAGGACCTAAACATTTTTCTCAAAAAGGGAATGAAACCTAAAGTAAGAGCCTCTACTCGCCTTAAAAGTAAGAACAAACATTCTCGCTTAAAGAACAAGAATTCCAGGTACAAATCAACGCCAAGAAAACTAGCTAAACCTGTTGTTCATCAGAAGGCAAAATTGCACCATCAGAAAAAAAATCGTCAGAAAATGCTGAACAAAAAACAACATTTTCATAATAGTTCGCATCACAAGCTTCAAACTCATCATAATTCTTCACATTCACTTCATGAAGGAGGAAAAGTAAGTCTAAATGATGCCAAAAATGTCCCTTCCAAATCTCATGTTGATCATGAGCATCAATGGAATGCTGGCAAAGCCAATGAAAGTCTACGTAACGCAGTTAATCATAGCGCAGCCAATCAGAGTCTCCATAAATTAGCGAATCACAGTCAGTCTTTTAGAGTTAAATTTGTCGCAGACAAGAACAAATTAAAGAAGGACTCTATTAATACTTCATATGTTTTTAAGCTGGAAACTGACGAGACTAACCAAGGGAAAAAGAATGTTAGCGAGAAAAGCCATCAAAGACCTTTCCATGAACATCATAGTTTCAAAGATGATCATATATTCTCAGGTGGCGCGGATTCAGGGTCTGCTGAGGGCAGTGGATTGCGTGACATTAGTAACGATGATTTACATGAAGAATATGTGTCAGGTAGTGGAATACGTGACAATGATCCCAGTCCTATCAACCCATATCTTGACAAAGACTTGAAAGACAGTAATCTAATACCACAGCACTCCAGATCCACTATACAGTCTTCCAAGAAATCCGCACAAAACAAACCAAGCGAAAACGAATATTCGACGAGTGCAACGTCTGGGAGTGAGACTTCTCTTCTAAATGTTCTGATATCTGATTCTCAAGGAGAGAATAACGCAATGCGTGATGACCTTAACCCAAGTGGTGATGGTCACGCAACACGTGGATCATCCGAGGACCGTGACATGAGTAGTGGATCGGGAGAATCCCTTGATCAGACATTAGGCGAGAAGGTAGAGGATGACGATGACCATGGATTTGACTTGATGTCGAGTGCTTTGATCCATAACGACGGTGCAAATAACGAAGTCATCAAAGACGAACAAAACGCCGAAACGCGTCAGGACGTTTCAGGTAGTAACATGAATGGTCGACTCGCAGGTACTGTTAAGAAAACCACAATACAAGTAAAAGTGGATAAAGGAAAGTCATCTTTGATTACTGAAGAAAGTAGTGACGAGGATGACAAGGATGACGACATTACAGGCAAACATGGTACAACAACTGAGTATAATGCCGACCATGGCATGAATAAACCCCCTTTAGAAGACAAAGAAAGAGTTGAAGTTGACTTTGATGACAACAATAATTTAATTAGCCTTGATAGTTTATTGGAAGACAACTCAGGATACAGCAATGAAACGCAATCGGAAGCACCCGCAGAGATATTGAGTTCGAGTACGCCTCTTGAAAGTCGAAATAATTCTCAAAAAATGTTATCAATACGGCCTGAGTCTGAACCTGGTCTGATGAACGAGCTACCTTTAGAAAGCCAAGTTTCTGGATACCCAGATAATACACAGGCATTAGAACGAAGCGCGATAAAAAGTCCAAAAACAGGTTTGGTGGAGAACCCGGGCGAAGGTTCGGTAACTGAAAATTCAACGCTAGAGACAACAGTGATGAGGCAAAGGCCTATTTTGATGGAGAATTCTGAGGAAAACTTATCAAATTTATTGATAAAAAACACATCAAAAACGACAAAGACGAAGCTTGTCGAAGGTTACAAAAATGAATCAAGCGTAAATAATGCTATAGTACCAACTCCAAAAAGTGAACAGCATCCGTTTCAAAGAAATGATGATGCAGTTATGCATGTCAATCCCTCCATTAAATCTCACACCGGTAGAAAGCATAATCAGCTTTCAAAACCCCGGAAAGACAATGCCACCATTAAACTAAAAGAGGGTGATGTCCAACGTGCAAACCTAAATAAGAAAAACGATTCTAAAAAGACTACTTCGAAAACTTTCGTTCACAAGCTGCCGAAAGTTATGAAGGATAACAACGTTAAACATAGACAAAAGACTATTGGAAAAAGTCAAGGACATCAAAAAGAGAGCAATAGTAGTAGAGGCTCTTCCAAAAAGGATAAAACTTCGAAAAACGCGGCTATATCTTCATCACATGAAAAGAAAGGACTGAAAAAATACGTAGACCAGAAGAAGTCTCCTCCACAGACGAATAAGTTAGAGCGTAGTAGTAACGATAACAGACATTCGGTCATAGGTGAAAGAGATGATATAGGTAATGAGAATATAGACGTTGATCGGACATCTGTGTCGGGAGGAGGGAGCGGAAGAGGTTTGCTAGAGGCATATTTGGCCACACCGTGATGTAGGACGCTTTCGCGTGACGTCACAGCGGCCATGTTATTGTACCAAAACAATACGTTTTTTATCCTCGGGGGGAATTGAATTATATTTTTATGCAAAAACTGTGCAGAAAGTTTCTATTTTTGGTATACCAATATGGTTGCCCTGTCACGTGAGTGAAAACGCTCTATACCCATTTCAATAACGTTAGGCACCTTAAAAGCTACCGTTGAAAGATGAGAATGTCATGGATTATGCAGGGTAGATACATTTACATGTTTCAACCGTGCTTATTAACAAGACTAGAGATGGATTTGAGATGCTTTAATTCAAGAGTTTCACTTCCTGCGAGCGTTCTCAAGATGCAGTTCAGTCGTATCAGAAGCCTTGAAATGTAATTTTCCATCATCCTCAGCAATTTCAGCTTTCGATGTTCTTTGTGACCAATTTGAATAACTATTGTTCTGCACTGACTAGCCTCGTGTTCACGTGGAAACATAAAAGCGTTTTCACATGTATGAGAGGCTAGTCAGTCGCTAGTCAGTGCAGAACAATAGGTATTCACATTGGTCGCCATATTTTGATTCGGTGATAAGTACTTAACAATAAATTGTTTGAATAAATCATGAAGCTTCGTAGGAAAGATTTTTTGATTTGCAATTTAAGTGCAAGGTTCTGAAAGATCGATAGAAAACTAATCTAACTCAATAGTCGTAGATAAATAGCAAACAATGCCTTATATATTTTTGTTACGCTGTTGATATATTTTTATACACTGGTACTAAAGCTGGTCTTCTAGAATTAACAGTTAGGTTTTTTAAACCGCAAATCGAATTTTATTATCAGTTTTTTTTCCAATCTCTTTGTAATAATTTGTTATATGTAAACTTTAGAGTCATCCGATGATCTGATGTACCGTCAATCTAGAACCCAGAATCCTTATTTCTTACTGCGCACGCTCGACGAAATAATTTTATTTCGTCGAGCATGCGCAGTAAGAAATAAGGGCTCTAGGTACGAGATTCATAATCATGTAGTGTGAGAACGAATCATTAAACAATGAGTTTGTAATTTGACTTGTTTCATGTCGTGCTTTTACTTCGTGCGTAGACTCTAGGAAATGACTTTCCTGTTTGCCTGGTTCTCAAGCTCTTTCTTTCTATACACCTTTAGAAGAATATTTACGGGTCCAAAAGCTCACAAGAACTGTGTTAAAATAAAGCGATTCTTTCACTCAATAATTCAAGCTAAACGACTAGGACTTTGGATAACAAATATTGTCACGAAAAAAAAGTAAGAAAAATCTTTGTAGGATTGATTTTCGTTTTGGACCGGGAAGTCGTTTTTCCTTACGATTGACGATACACTTAAAGGATCTATTGTATTTACCAAGTGTTCCTCGAATCTGCCTAGAATAATAAACCACTAAATTGTTTGGATTTGAAACATTAAGAATTTAAATTTCTCACCTGCATTGCACAACCCTGGATTGTAATGTAATATTTTATAAATCAATATTTGATTTTTTAGGTCCCGTCCACACGTATCCGTAAATTTGTGTATCCGCAAATTTTTTTTTTCGGATACGGGTTGCGTCCACACGTGTTCGGAAATTTTCGTACCCGTATCCGGAAATTTTCGTAAACAGTCTCCAGAGCGGAAATTTTCGAATACGCTCCGAATACGGATACGTGTGGACGGTCGTATCCGCAAATTTTCGAATACGTTGACGTAAACACGATTTTGCGCATGCTCAATAAGAAAAACTATCCGTCAAAGGGACTAGGCACTAGCGTTCATCAGGGCGGATCAAGAAATTTCCGGATACGTGTGGACAGTGAAAACGATTCGAAAATAATTCGAATACGCTGCGTGTGGACGCGAACATTTTCGTATCCGCAARRACAAAAATTTGCGGATACAAAAATTTGCGGATACGTGTGGACGGGGCCTTAATCATGATAACTTTGTGATCTTCTCACCATCGTTACCATGACAACGATTAATAAAATCCCCCCTTAAATGTGACGACATGTTTTGGTTACATTTACAAATAATTTCAATGCTGTTAATCCTGTTTTGACAAACTCCTCAATTGTTTTTGCAGTGTAACATTTTCACATTCCATTTTTTGCTGGCGAATATATTTCTTCGGAGTTCCATTTGTCGCTGATAAAGAAAAAGATAATACTCAATGGAATAAAAGCTACAATAGTTTCATTTTATCAGTTCACGGATAATTGACCCGAGATTTTTTCGGCTGTAGTAAGTATAACGGAGAGGACTCGACTTTCAGTACTACCTATGAAAAGCAGTTACGCCACGACTAAAGTATAGATATCCTAAAATGATATCATTTCTTTTTATCAGTCTGAATGGCGAGGACCATGAGACAGCGTAGTTGCTTTGATGACTACTCGAATATTTCATGCAGATAAGAAATTAAACATCTTCCCTCTTGCACGTTATCTGCCCGGCAAAGCTCAAACGACAGTATATTCCTTCTCTAGCCATTCTCACGCCATATCAGTCTGAATGGGACCATTAGACGTTGTAGTTGTTTTCTATGGAAATGATGACCACTCGAAAATTTCATACAGATAAGAAACGTTTTCCTATTCTTGCAGGTTGCTTGTCAAAGTTCAGACTACAGTAAATTCCTTGTCTAACCATTCCCACACCTTCTTTGCAATCTGCTCCGAACCGTTCAATACAAAAGCATGTTGGATATCGTCGTTGCAAATGTTGATGTCACCATCCGGGAACAACTTCTTCATCTTCTCGTAGCACGACCGGGGTACCCAAGGGTCACGAGCCCCGTAGTAAAAAATAAGTTTATCGATATTATCACTGACACTTTGCATGTCAATGTCCTTGATAGTACCGAGGTCTCGGCCAATTCTTAACATGTTTTCCATCGCGCGGTAGTTAAGAAAAGCATGGGTAGCATTTACTGTACTCTCGTGAGATGATTGCTTGTTCAAATGCATCCACCAACCAATCGACCACTTTTTGAACACAGCAGGCATCAAAGAAAAGAAAAAAGTCATGAAAAGAAACGGCCATTGCAAGTAGAAACAAACCACCCACCACAACCGACCGCTCGGAGATTCCATGATGTGTTCAATAGCGGGGAAAAGAAGAATGCCCTTGAGGAACTTATCTTTGTCGTGGTAGCGTTTCATCATCTGTAGAGTAATGTACGCGCCTGCTGAATGACCAATCAATATGACTTTACACTCCTTGGGTATGTGATATGCGATGAAGGAAAGTTTGTGGGCAATCTGGTCTTCAAGATGCAAAATGTCTGGAGAATTCTCTTGTTCAGGGGATTTTCTTTTACCGCATGTGAAATATCCTGCCTCTTCGAGCTGACAATGACCTGTAAAAAATGCATCACATTAGACTAGTCTTAGGGATAGAGCGGTTTTTGTACTAGTGGGGAAGGATACGATAATGTAGTGCCAGTAGTATAGCCGTGCAGTATATTAACGTAACCGTAACTACGCTTCGTGATTGGATAAATAACTTGAAGACAATGGGAAGCCATTTCAATGAGACATCATGCCCTATACCGTGTACGTGCTGTAAGTCAGTTATATATATGTTGTATATCATTTAATAATTTTTATGATACACTCTATAAAAAAATACTCGATTCTGGTTGGACAAGGGGAATACAATTAAATCCCAAATTGTACTCTATTCTAAAATTGGAACGATATAAAGCGTTTCATTTCTCTGGAAACTAAAGATTTCTGTCTTCTTTAAAAAAACGCGCGCATCTATCTTCGCTGTCACCACCGACTGACACAATGAAGACAAACTTAATCTACGAAATCCGGAACAGATGTGATGTGCTTTAAAAATAAATCACGAGTATTCATTCATAAACAACGCACGTTCTATCCAAGACCTTTCCGTTGCCTAGAGACCATTTTTGACGTTCTTGTTTGACGAAATACTGGCGATCCGCTTCAGGGCCAGTATACTGGTGTTTTTTAGGAGGAATTTAAATTCAATTATTATTGCTATCGTGTTACATAGGGAAAGATTTTATTCTTGAGGATTATATTCTACCCACAATTATAGTTTCTTTACAATTTGCAGCCAGCGGGAAAAATGTTTGGGGCGTCTAGGCCCGTATAATAAAACATTCGCTCGTTCTCGCTCGAATATTTCATTTCATTGAGTTTTTGGAAATGTTAGGAAATTTTTCTACGACATTCTAAAACAGGATTTTTAATGCTTTTCTTCGCGATATTTAATAATTTTCTTCGGTTCAGTTAAATCTATTCCATTCCATATTGCAACTTTACATTTCAAAACGACTGCGCCTGACTTATCGATATTAATTCGCGAGCAAAAATCTTAAAAAATGCGACAGCGTTAACGAATTATTCACTATACCGCAAGCTTAATAAAATAACAGATAATGATGAAGAGAAAGAGAGAATAGTGCCAGTCCCAATGATGTCAAAAAATAAACTGACTTGATTTCGGTGGAATTTCGGAAAGAAGGTCAAAGAAATGATGGCAAGCACGACTCTAGGAATGCTTTCTTTATTTAATTACTTTAAAAACAATATCTTTTTGCCGGTTTTGTTTCACGGTTGTTGTGATCTTTTAAATATAAAGCTCAAAACACAGGTTTAATGCATAATTTAAGGGATAATCTTTGAATGAATGGCGAGTTTCACTCTCGCTAGTTTCTTTGACAGGTGTTCTTGTGAATATATAATGAACCAACATGAAAAACATGCAGGAATATTGCTTCAGAAAAACGACAACTTTCCACTTCCTTTGTTAACTCTTAAAAAGTGGTATTTTGAAATAATAGTTTTGTAGAAATCTTATTAGCGAATTAGTTAGGTTATTGGACAAAATATTTAGTTAATTGTGAATAAAATCGTCAAAAACATAGGAAATTTGAAGTAAAACCACTTCAGGTACGATTATAGTTAAAAAAGATTTTGACGTCGTTTCCCTACTAATTCCAGTGTTAATAGCTTTTGATAAAGTACTGTTTTCCTAAGTATTCTATACCTGCATGTCCGACTCCATAAACAGGGATTTTTCCACCGCTTTCTTTGAAGAGAGACTCGATGAAGATGTCGTAGAACTCGATGCTTCCAGGGTTACCGGGGATTACGACGATACAAACTCGTTCGTTGTCCTCGTGAGGGACAGCGTAAGATATTTTAGTGTGAACTCCATTGATGAGCGCTATTTCATGGCGTACTACGCCACCCTCTGGTTTGGTACTCATGGAGAAATCCAACGAGATTGAAAAAAGGTATCTTGCTAGTGCTGGCCGTGTTGATAACTAGATTAATATTGACAGCATGACGCATGCGCTGTGGGTTTTCCTTCCTGTTATGATAACATCTGTGGCGCCACTCGATCTTGGTAATTGTGACAATATCATCATGAGCCTATTGTGAATTATTCTTTCTACGTCGTATTATTAAATATATCGGGATATTTATTTTATGTTTAAATGTATAAAATAGAAGACTAGAAAAAGCGAAAATGATCTCGCATGACGATAAAAATATTTGAACATATAAAACGAGAAAAAAAGAGGAAAAATAATTCCTTTTATTTATTATATATTTTCTCTACTTTACATTTCTTTTCTATTTTTAGCGTTGTTAATCTATAATAAATTAATCCTAAATATATTCTATAAACAATTTATTATTAGCATCAATCTTCCACTTACGATTCAAGCGTCGTTGTCATAGTAACAAGTGTATTATCGGTCAGCGGCATCATTTCTGTGGAAACGAGACGCCATCTTGACATTTCTACAAACAAGAAAAGAAGACTCGTAAAAATGTCTACATTTGGAAGATCAAAAGGAGCTCGATCAAGTAATAAAGCAGACTGAGAAATAGTCAATTCAACAGAATATCTATTTGCTTAATTAATTTTTTAATTTGGTTGTTTTTAGCCTCTCCGATGCGCAGTCATTCGCCAGGGAATCTTCGTCGTTCTGGTAGCTTTGGCAAGTCTACTGGAAAAGGACTAGCAGCTTCCTTTGATTCTTCTGCAGCTAGAAGGTATTTATTAACGCTCAAGAAGATGAGCCAGAACAAATGACAATCAATAAATCTTAATTATATAATTTGCATTTCTGAAAATATAAGAATAATAAACGCTTTTTGAAGGTTTTATTTTCGTTGTTACTCCAAATCATAAACAGAATTCCAGAGTTGTCAGCCAAGCGTATTTAATTTTTGTTTAACCAGCAAAAAAGCAAAAAGATCATTCTTCTTCCTATATTCTTTGAAGTAGTATTAGCATATATTTATTAAATAGTTTAAAATCAATTTGGATTATAGTGTTAGAATATATCAAGTGTGCTGAATTTCGTTTTCAAGCAATAATTATAACGACCTTGTTATAATTTGCTTAGATAATTACTGTAACTTGTTCCTTTGTTTTCTTAAAGTTACTGTCTAAATATCTCTCCTTACTTCATATATTTTGTAAAGATGGATTAAATAGATTTTGCATTATATTTATATCTGGATGGCATTTATATCATTATTTTTATAAAATGTTGTGCATATACTCTATCGAAATATGGCGACCAATTTGAATAATTATTGTTCTGGACTGACTAGTCTCTCTTACATGTGAAAACACTTTTATGTTTCTATGTGAACATAAGGCTTAGTCAGTACAGAACCTGGTTGTATGATGGGTGGATAGCGCACTCCTTATCCAGTGGAAAAGTCAGTGCTGTTAACCAATAGATTTATCCACTGGATAAGATTTATCTGTTTCATAGCACTATCCACCCTTCGTACAATAATTATTTAAATTGGTCACCATATTTCTATTCAGTGTATGAATGTTTAGAAAATTACCTTTGCTTGTTACTTTCTTGTAGTAAACACACGCGGTCATCAACAGCTGATGTAGGAAACATAGAAAATGAATACATTAGGAACCTTCAGCAACAAATATATTTCTTAGAACTGGAAGCAAATTATCTGTATCCTTGTACACAATAAACCAGAATAAACTAGACATTATTAAAATAAAAAAACATTGTTAAAAGCCTGGGAAAAATAAGAAATATTGCAGGAACGTATTGCTGTGGGGGGGAGTGGGGACTGATAGGAGAAGTATCATCCTAAGTGATAGTTATAGTTGCTTTTTATACAAAAACCAAAGAAATGAAGTTGAAACTCACCTAAAGTATGTATTTCATTGGGGGAAGAGAAGCAGGGTGGGGGATTTGCAGTAAAYGTTTTTAAAAGTGCCTGTAGCCTTCCCCCTTCCACTCAGTAAGAAATTCATAACCCTCCTATTAAGTCAACAAGGAAACAGCTTCAAAATAAAAAGGTTTGACTCTCCACAAAAGATCAAATTTTTACTGATGCCTCTCTCCTTTGAAGCCACAACCCTTTTCCCATAAAAACATACCTTTCATAATGGACACCCACATGTTATGGACACTTTTTTTTTTTAAATAATAACTTTATTATCAATAGCAGAGTAAGTCATACATTAATACCTTCCACCTCCACATAGCTATTTACTTTATTTTCTTTTCTTTTTTTTTTTTTTTTTGCTTTACAAATATATTTTTTAGTTATTTTATTCTCAGTATTTCTTATATATTTTTCTCTATGATTTTTAAAAAATTATCTTTATCTACTGACCTCCTCCACGTATATTATGRATACTTGTTAGTATTACAAAGGATAACTTGGCTGGACCCAACTGTAAGCACTAGCACTGAGGGTCTCCTGTTGGTTCTCTCTATGGACCTTGGTCTTTCCCTTATACTCCATTGTCACACATGACTGTTTTCTCAATGAGAAAATTTAAGAACTTTAAAATTGTTAGTAAACTTGAAGGAAAGATAAGTTTTAAATGGTACAGCTCCTAGGGATTGCAGCTATCAAATCTCCTTAACTGTACATTTTAGTCGAGAACAGTCAAGAAAGGCATCAGGTAAGAAAAATATGAAATTTAATTGAGTTGATAACATTACCTGAAGGAATTTTGGGTCAACTATTGCTAGTTTTTAGACCTAAATTTGAGTAGATTTAGTGTGAATTGATAGTACAGAAATAATGACACTCTTTAAAGTATTTACAGCAATCAAGATCACTGCTTAGCTAATAAAAAACAGGATGCATTGTGATTTAGCTTTGGCAGAGGTACAAATGACACCATATAAGGCATGATGAATAATAGATGACCACAATGCACCATGTTCACCATCTCAGAAAAGGTTTATGGTACCTTGAAAGTCAGAGCATCCACTCTATCAACAATATACTTTGAGTTTTTTTACAGTCATCAGAATCCACAGGAAACCCAAACCCTTTAAAACCCAACCCCAAGAAGATAAGATACCCATAAAGAACCTTGATAGCATAGATTAATGTGTACAATTTGTATTCGTTAGTTATTCCTCCAAGAGTGACAGAAGAAGCAGACAGAATGATGAGAAAATTACGTGACCTTCAGGCTCAACTAGATGAGCGATCCAATGATAACAGCAAGAAGGAATCCAAGATCCTCATGCTAGAGGCTGAAAAGGACACAGCTATCAAGAGGTTGCGTGATGCACAAGGTAATATGGCTGGTCCCATCTTAACCACACTTCTTTTTAGCTTGAGAACCATTTTTCCCCTCAAAAAAAAAGTTTACTACCCAAGTAAATGAAAAAACAGGACCATCTTTTTAAAAAAATTGTAGCACTGCCAAATGTGTATCTTATACATTTCTATCTCTACGCAGAGGACCACGAGGCAGAGAAACGCCAACTTGTCAATGAGATAGTATCTTTGAAGAAACTCAAAAATATAAGTGAGAGGGATTCTACAAGAAAGGAGATGCAAGTTCACCAGTTCAAAGTCGAAGCAGAAAAAGGGTTAACATCACTGCAAGAGGCTGAAAGGAAAATCCAGCAATACAGGGTTGAGGCAAGTGTATTCATTGAAAAAAATTTTTGTTGACTTTTTGAAGAAGTAGACCAGTTTTTGGCTTGGGTGTGATGTTTTTCCTTCTCCAACCACATTTACTTCTCAAGCATTTATTTTTCTTTGTTAAATGGCTGCACATGAGAAGACACATGAATATATATGGCTGCAACTCAAACAAAGATGTAGAAATTATTCTCTAGATAATGACTCATGGTCTGAAATGGGAAAACAGTAAACTCAAGCTGGAAAAGATCTGTTATTAATGCTTATCAGATAAGTTTGGCATGAGTTTGAAATTTAAATTGCAATATGATTTATCTTCCTGAGTGGCACTTATCCTGGACAAATTAAACACGTCCATGGACCTAGGTGCTGATTGGGTGTTTGGGTGAGTTAAGTAAAGAAGGGAGGGTGGGGTGGGGGGGGGGGTGCTAATAAACCCACCTAAACCCTCATGTTTTTGGGTAGACTTTTCTTTATGGCTTGCATCAGTACTCTACACCAATTCAAATATGTTGTATATAGGCTGCTAAGGTTTTAGTAGTTTCCCTCATTTAAACAAATATCGTGTTAATAGGATTAAATTAAAATGTTTTAATAACGTAGATGGATAGGAAATCAGAAGAAGTAACCTCTCTCAGGATCCAGTTAGAAGAACAAAGAGCCGAGACGCTGAGACTCAAGACCCAACTACAGGAGATGGATGATAGATTCTTTGATTCACAAGCCAAGACAAAGGAACAATTGGGACGTGAACTACGGGTCAGTATCAAGCATCGAAACTCTCCCCACCCACCCCTCCCCTTTCTTTTTTAAAAAGGTTATCCCCAAGAAAGATTAAAGATAAGACCAACTAGTGATCATGGTAGGAACTTGTAGATAAATTGGATCACAGTAAAAAGCTTTGTGAAACTGACGTTTTGGACGTTAGTCCTTCATCGGAGTAAGTGGAAAGAAAAGATGAGAAGGGGTGAAAATTTTTTTAACTTTGGTGCGAAATAAACTATTGATTGATTAAAAACTTTTCAGATAAAATACATACATGATACATATAGCATACTCGTATTTTACCACCAATGACTTTTTCAGTGTAATAATACAATAAATACTTAAAGTAATATGTGGTTGCAATAATCAAGGTATACCTTATTTATTCTTGAATCCCAGGAAGAAATAAGACAGCTGCGACTACAGTTGAAAGAAAGAGAAGTCGGTGCAGAACAGGACCGCAGTCTGCGGACTAAGGTACATAGAAACTCACTCCACGTGTATAATACATGTATGCGTTCTGATTACCTCCTTCTTGATCGTCATAACCTTCCTCTCAACTTTTCGAGTCTTGTCTGAGGGACGAATGAAGTGCCTCACTGAATGGGGAACGTTAGTTACAGCACTTTTCATAATTCTGCGACCTCGGTGCTCTGAGTTGCACGCTGAAATTTTGTTTTTTCGCTGCCGCCAGTCAAAAATATGAAGGTTACCGACTGATTAGGTTTGATTGACGGCAGCGAAAAAACGTTTCAGCGAAGAGTTCTTCCTCCAAGGGCAGGTGTTTGGTCGACCTTTTGCCCTCGCATGCGCAGTAAACGATTAAATTAGAAATGGGTTACCTGTGGCTAGCCATTGCCTTTGCCGTAGCCATGCCTTTGCATCGAAGTGAGACAAACGGTGAGCTTGCAATGATAGAGACCTTTTTTTAACACCTTGGACAATTATTCACATGTCTCTATCATTGCAAGCTCACCGTTCGTCTCGCTTCGATGCAAAGGCACGGCTACCTTTCAAGATGGCGCAGGGAACTGTGAAGGGGACTATTAAAGGACTCTATGAAAGCTAGAAAAACTTCTTAGGTAACTTCTAGTAGCTTTGTCGAAGACTTGCGAGGTCAACAGCTTAGAATAAGATGCTTGTCAGATGAACGTATGTTTCCTTTTATCTGGTGAGAGTAAAGTTTTCCCACTTCAGTCATTAGTTCCCTTGAGAATGAGATTTTTTGTTTGAGTTTTATTCAAACTTTAAACAAAAATTGATACTCAAGGGAATGAATGACACGTGGTCTGAAATGGGAAAACATAACGCCAAAGGTAAAGAGGTCTATCAGTCGATGCAACTGTATATTTATTGTGTTTTTAGATACAAGATGACTGTACTGCCCTCATTAAAGAGAACGCTGCCTTAGCTGCACAGGTCATAGAACTCCAGAAACACATCGATATGGTAATCAAAATATTCTTAATACATAACACTGGGTTTTAAGCTCACAAGACAAGCGAAGGTTTCGTCCGTCCTTTTTTGCGAGGGTGGCGCACCTGCTCTGCGCCTAACAAACCCTTTGGCCCTCGTTCCATGATGGATTCGTGCGTGTGTCTTCACGGGTGGTGTAGCGGTGTGAGCGCTCGCCTCTCATCAATGCGACCCGAGTTCGAGTCCCGCCGGGTTCGGTGTTGTATATGAGTAGAGTTGTTTGTTGGTTCTCTCCTGTGCTTCGAGGGTTTTCCGGGTTCTCCGGTTTTCCTCCCTCCACAAAAATCAACTCCTAAATTCCAATTCGATCACAGAATGAGGGCCACAGGTTTGTTAGCCACTGGCTATTAAGTGCTATCCTCGTGAAAAAAGGACGGTTTTTTTTCCTCATGCGCAACCGTGAAACAAAGAAAAGATACTCTATGGAATGTCACGTGTTCTGAAATGGAAAACGGTCTGGTGCCACAGTCGTTAGACAAATGAATAAGTATAATCTTTGATCTTCTTTCTCGACTCTCATATACGAAATATGATGAAATTCATAATTTGCTGATCAGGACCGTTCCCATCGAGACGAGAAGGACGTCAGACGGCATGCGAATATACAAGAACTCGTCTCTCTGAAGGAGAGCAACAAGCATCTAAAACTTGAGCTAGAAAAGACACAAGAACTACTGAGACTAGAACAAACATCCCATAGAAAAGACCTTGAAAAGGTTAGTATGGTCAACAAAGTACTCTCTTAATTGCTATGGTATAGTGTGATAAAGTTATCGCGCGTTATCAAAAAGAAGTAAAAGATGATGCGCGCGCATGGAAAAGAATGTGCACCAGATGGCTCGTTGTCTGAGTCGCCAGAAGAAACAAAAAGCCTGTAAAGGAATTTAAAACCGTCTTGTCCATTTTTATTTTACTTGTCGGTTTTTATTGGTCTTGAACCTCTGAACCACTTTCTTCTCCTTATCTGGCAAGTAGCCAGTTAAACACGTTGAATATACCCCTTGCAAGTGACGTCAAAGCAGCTCACTTTGGATGACAAAACAAAAGAACTTCAATCTCAAGAGAATTGAAAACCTATTGTTATGTCCTCCAATAATTAAGCTGCATGCTGACGTACTGCAAGGGGTCTATTGTCTGATACTCTCTAAGGCGGCTGGCGATAGCTTTTCCTTGCGTTTTTCTAACTATTGACATTTTTGATTCTTCAGCTGTCTAGAGAAGAACAAGCGTCCTTACAAGGTAAATATTGAAGTGAAACTTACGTTATATTTTACAGGTACAGTACTCCCATTTTCAAAGATGTATTCTTTAGGCTCGGCGGTTACCCTGGGTCCCAGAGGCTCGACGATTTTTCTTCCGGACACGTATATTTTGAGCCGCGAAGCGGAGAGCGAGCTGTAAACCAAAACGGAACATCAACTTTATCGAACCCTGAAACCATCTCGGGACTGGTTCAAGCCATGCTATCTCACAGACTTAAGATTTAAAGGTGTGTTTGCGGAGGATTGAAAACCAGAGAACCCGGAAAAAAGCCTGAATCGAGGGAGAGGCTAGTCTCCCCCACAGCCGCTTTGATGTTGAGTCTGGGAATCGAACCTGGATACTTCAGAGGTAGGAGATGAGTGCACTTCCGCTACGTCCACCCTTGATTTACGAAATCTTGTTCTGTGAAATCTTTTCAAACGACAATTTTTTAAATCTCGTAAGCTTGTTTTGTTCATTATTAGCGAGTCTTCAGAGAAGTCATCTACAGAATGAGCTGAGTGAAGTAGAAGTGATGCATGATTCCAGTGAAGCTGAAAACATGGCGTTAAAAAGAGACAAGATCATGTTAAGTGATGAGGTTGCTAACCTGAATGCTAAGGTATATAAACCTTCAGTTGCTGTTGTTGCGGAGATTTTATTATCTGTTGTTTTGTTGGTAGTCGGTGCTTTTGCTTTTGCTATTAATGTTACTGTGGCTGTCGATGCTGCTTCTGTTGTCGCTGCTGCTGCTGCTTCAGCATGCCGCTGTTGCTGTTGTTGCATGCTGCTGTTGTTTTTGCTGCTGTTGTTGTTGCTGTTGTTGTTGCTGCTGTTGTTGCTGCTGCTATTGTTAGTTGTTGTTGCTTCTATTGTTACTGTTGTTGTTGCTGTTTTTGTCACTGTTGCTGCTGTTGTGGCTGCTGTTGTTGTTGCTTCTATTGTTACTGTTGTTGTTGCTGTTATCGCTGTTGCTGTTACTGTTGTTGTTTTTGTTGATGTTGTTGCTGTTGTTATCGCTGTTGTTGTTACTGTTGTTGTTGTTGTTTTTGTTGTTGTTGTAGATTTTAAAGATTTCCCCGAGTACCACTTCTATAACATCATCCATTTTTAAACATTTCATTTCAGCTGGATGACAAAGAAGATGAACTAGATGGAATGAAATTACGGCTAGAAGAAGCCGAGTCAAGAAATGCGCAGCTCGAATCCAAGATCCGCATGCAAAGAAGCCTAGAATCCATTAAATGGGAAGAGTTTGAAAAACTTGCTACAACCATGAAATCCTTCTCGAGAAACATGAGTCCAAGCAAACACGATAAAGACATGTCAGACTAGACAACACACTGTAAACCATAAGATCACAGGAAGCCCATTGCCAAAATGAATAAGTGCATTTATGGGTTATGGGATACCTGTGGGTAGCCTGACACTGCATGGTTGATCAAGTAACAACTTCTCCTTTCCTGTCAACAACAGCAATAGCCATGCAAGAAAAAAATATTGTCTGCTGCAATAAAGATTTCTCTTGGTGATTTGGCGCTTGTACAAAAGGTGGAGAAATAGTTCTCCTTTGTAATCATTATAATTCCGTCACGCAATGCCACTGCATTACGTCACGGCCAAGAGTTACTCCCCACAAGGTCGTAACGTAGGTCTATTTTTATAAGTGGTGTTATCAGCATGTTTGTTATTTTTTTCAATAATAAATGACTTCTCGTGATAACTCCCACTTGACAAGTGTTTTATTGCTGTAACCTTTATTTTGTTCCAGTTTTCAATAGCAAATGCAAACGCACTGTTGACTAAATGCTTTGTTTCCAACCTCTTTCCCAAAATCTTCTTGGGTGGGGGGCCCTGGAAAAGAGATTGTATGCTCCTCTCAAATATTAACGGTTTGACACAGCATTGTAAATACCATAGATGATGTTGACCAAGACTATGATGGTAGATGATGTTGGCCAAGACTATGATGGTAGAAGATGTTGGCCAAGATTATGATGATAGATGATGTTGGCCAAGACTATGATGGTAAATGATGTTGGCCAAGACTATGATGGTAGATGATGTTGGCCAAGACTGATGGAAGATGATGTTGGCCAAGACTATGATAGTAGATGATGTTGGCCGAGACTATGATGGTAAATGATGTTGACCAAGACTATGATGCCGTAGATGGTGTTGGCTAAGACTATGATGGTAAATGATGTTGACCAAGACTATGATGCTAGATGATGTTGGCCGAGACTATGATGCCGTAGATGATGTTGACCAAGACTATGATGGTAAATGACGTTGACCAAGACTAATGTGGTAGATGATGTTGGCCAAAACTGATGGTAGATGATGTTGGCCAAAACCGATGGTAGATGATGTTGACCAAGACTATGATGGTAGATGATGTTGACCAAGACTATGATAGATGATGTTGGCCAAGACTACGATGGTAGATGAT